CTGGATCTTTTACAAGGTTAGATTATAAGGTTTAATTTCTGGATCTTTTATAAGGTTAGATTATAAGGCTTAATTTCCGGATCTTTTATAAGGTCAGATTATAAAGTTTATTTTCTGGATCTTTTATAAGGTTAGATTATAAGGTTTAATTTCCGGATCTTTCATAAGGTGAGATTATAAAGTTTATTTTCTGGATCTTTCATAAGGTTAGATTATAAGGTTTAATTTCCGGATCTTTCATACGGTGAGATTATAAAGTTTATTTTCTGGATCTTTCATAAGGTTAGGTTATAAGGTTTAATTTCCACATCTTTCATAACATTATGTATCGTTAATCCTGACAAAAAGGTTGTCATTGGAAAGGCAATGCCTCATCGTTGTAAACACTTTTAAATCATTAAAGTCTTCATTTATGTATGGTAGTTGTTAAATTCAAGTGGTATATATCGAGGATGAGGTTTTTAGGCCACTTCGAGATGCTGTAATATCAAGCTTGTTTCACTTAATCAATTATGACTCAATAGTGAGTTCGATCCTCACTATGGGTGCCATGCTTTCTGCCTCGTGCCACATCTAAGCAGGCGTATTCGTTTTGCTCAAAAACTGAGGTTGCATTATGCACGAACTATATAAAAAAAGTCATTTTCCCCCCAAAATACAATGGCCGCATTATAACTGAAATAGACTTATACATGAATATATACAGTATTTAGATATTTAAAATGTTTTTAAATATTTTAGATAGTATAGTTTTACATATCTGTATTTGTGAAAAAGTTGAAAATTAATTTAAAAATGGCGACGGATAACCACAAGGAGACAAATTCTGTTCTGGATGGATTTTCGGTGGCCATAACCTACCTAGTAGACCTCCACCCTGTTACCCTTTGATAACCTTAACTGTACAGGTGTTATGTACCGTTAATCCCGACAAAAAGGTTGTCATTGGAAAAACAAAACCTCATCGATGTAAACACAAGTGAAACGAAGATAAATGCAAATTTGGAATAGGAAAAAATCGTTTAAGTCTTCATTTATATGAGTTATATTTTGATTTTAAGTGGCATCCATAATGGATGATGTTTTTTACACTTCGACGTGATATAATATTCAGCTCGTCTCATAAGATCAGTTGTGACAGAATAGTGATTTCGATACGCAAACATCATACTTTCACCCTTGTGCCACATCTAAGTTACATAGACGAGGTTTAGCACTTCATGTAATGACAAAAGGGAAGAAACTTAGGCTACGTAAGAGGCACGCCCAGGGTAAAGAAGCTACCATAGTCGGACATGAACGGAAACTTAGGCTGTGTAGGAGGCAGGCCCAGGGTAAAGAAGCTACCGTAGTCGGGCATGAACGGAAACTTAGGCTGTGTAGGAGGCAGGCCCAGGGTAAAGAAGCTACCGTAGTCGGGCATGAACGGAAACTTAGGCTGTGTGTAGGAGGCAGGCCCAGGGTAAAGAAGCTACCGTAGTCGGGCATGAACGGAAAAATTAGGGCTGTGTAGGAGGCAGGCCCAGGGTAAAGAAGCTACCGTAGTCGGGCATGGACGGAAACTTAGGCTGTGTAGGAGGCAGGCCCAGCATAAAGAAGCTACCGTAGTCGGGCATGAACGGAAACTTAGGCTGTGTAGGAGGCAGGCCCAGGGTAAAGAAGCTACCGTAGTCGGGCATGAACGGAAACTTAGGCTGTGTAGGAGGCAGGCCCAGGGTAAAGAAGCTACCGTAGTCGGGCATGAACGGAAACTTAGGTTGTGTGGGAGGCAGGCCCAGGGTAAAGAAGCTACCGTAGTCGGGCATGAACGGAAACTTAGGCTGTGTAGGAGGCAGGACCAGGGTAAAGAAGCTACCGTAGTCGGGCATGAACGGAAACTTAGGCTGTGTAGGAGGCAGTCCCAGGGTAATGAAGCTACCCGTAGTCGGGCATGAACGGAAACTTAGGCTGTGTAGGAGGCAGGCCCAGGCTACCGTAGTCGGGCATGAACGGAAACTTAGGCTGTGTAGGAGGCAGGACCAGGGTAATGAAGCTACTGAAGTTGGGCATGAACTTAGGCTGTGTAGGAGGCAGGCCCAGCATAAAGAAGCTACCGTAGTCGGGCATGAACAGAAACTTAGGCTGTGTAGGAGGCAGGCCCAGGGTAAAGAAGCTACCGTAGTCGGGCATGAACGGAAACTTAGGCTGTGTAGGAGGCAGGCCCAGCATAAAGAAGCTACCGTAGTCGGGCATGAACAGAAACTTAGGCTGTGTAGGAGGCAGGACCAGGGTAAAGAAGCTACCGTAGTCGGGCATGAACGGAAACTTAGGCTGTGTAGGAGGCAGGCCCAGGGTAAAGAAGCTACCGTAGTCAGGCATGAACAGAAACTTCGGGCATGAACAGGCCAACTTAAAGAAGCTGTGTCGGGCAGGAACGGAAACTTAGGTGGGAGGCAGGCCCAGGGTAAAGAAGCTACCGTAGTCGGGCATGAACGGAAAATTAGGCTGTGTAGGAGGCAGGCCCAGGGTAAAAGAAGCTACCGTAGTCAGGCATGAACGGAAACTTAGGCTGTGTGGGAGGCAGGCCCAGGGTAAAGGAGCTACCGTAGTCGGGCATGAACGGAAACTTAGGCTGTGTAGGATGCAGGCCCAGGGTAAAGAAGCTACCGTAGTCGGGCATGAACGGAAACTTAGGCGGTAAGGCAGGCCCAGGGTAAAGAAGCTACCGTAGTCGAGCATGAACGGAAACTTAGGCTGTGTGAGGCAGGCCCAGGGTAAAGGAGCTACCGTAGTCGGGCATGAACGGAAACTTAGGCTATATAGGATGCAGGCCCAGGGTAAAGGAGCTACCGTAGTCGGGCATGGACGGAAACTTAGGCTATAGTGGGATGCAGGCCCAGGGTAAAGGAGCTACCGTAGTCGGGCATGGACGGAAACTTAGGCTATATAGGATGCAGGCCCAGGGTAAAAAGAAGCTACCGTAGTCGGGCATGGACGGAAACTTAGGCTATATAGGATGCAGGCCCAGGGTAAAGGAGCTACCGTAGTCGGGCATGGACGGAAACTTAGGCTATATAGGATGCAGGCCCAGGGTAAAGAAGCTACCGTAGTCGGGCATGAACGGAAACTTAGGCTATATAGGATGCAGGCCCAGGGTAAAGGAGCTACCGTAGTCGGGCATGGACGGAAACTTAGGCTATATAGGATGCAGGCCCAGGGTAAAGGAGCTACCGTAGTCGGGCATGGACGGAAACTTAGGCTATATAGGATGCAGGCCCAGGGTAAAGGAGCTACCGTAGTCAGGCATGGACGGAAACTTAGGCTATATAGGATGCATGCCCAGGGTAAAAGGAGCTACCGTAGTCGGGCATGGACGGAAACTTAGGCTATATAGGATGCATGCCCAGGGTAAAGAAGCTACCGTAGTCGGGCATGGACGGAAACTTAGGCTATATAGGATGCAGGCCCAGGGTAAAGGAGCTACCGTCGTCGGGCATGGACGGAAACTTAGGCTATATAGGATGCAGGCCCAGGGTAAAGGAGCCACCGTAGTCGGGCATGGACGGAAACTTAGGCTATATAGGATGCAGGCCCAGGATAAAGGAGCTACCGTAGTCGGGCATGGACGGAAACTTAGGCTATATAGGATGCAGGCCCAGGGTAAAAGGAGCTACCGTAGTCGGGCATGGACGGAAACTTAGGCTATATAGGATGCAGGCCCAGGGTAAAGGAGCTACCGTAGTCGGGCATGGACGGAAACTTAGGCTATATAGGATGCAGGCCCAGGGTAAAGGAGCTACCGTAGTCGGGCATGAACGGAAACTTAGGCTGTGTAGGATGCAGGCCCAGGGTAAAGGAGCTACCGTAGTCGGGCATGGACGGAAACTTAGGCTATATAGGATGCAGGCCCAGGGTAAAGGAGCTACCGTAGTCGGGCATGGACGGAAACTATATAGGATATATAAAAGGGATGCAGGCCCAGGGTAAAGGGTAGCTACCGTAGTCGGGCATGAACGGAAACTTAGGCTGTGTAGGATGCAGGCCCAGGGTAAAGGAGCTACCGTAGTCGGGCATGAACGGAAACAAAAGTATGGTATCTAAATCTTCTACTATTACGCTAAGTAGATTTTCTTACGATTTTGGCATAGCTTTGTAGCAAAAAGAATGAAAACCATTTATTTGCTATTAGGTTGGTGCAAAAATAATGACGTAATAATGTCGTTTTTTGATGTTAGAAAATACGTTAAAAACGACATTATTACGTCATTATTTTGCACCAACCTAATATAAAATATGTCCAGGATGTTGCCTAGTACTGAAATATTTAACTACGGTAGGCCTACTAGTATTGCTCAGAAGCTGTGTTCGCATTTTACTTACTATATGAAAAAAATCAGTTTTCCCCACCAAAAAAAATTAGGGGTCGCATTATACATGAAATATGCTTATATCCAAATATATATTAGGTTGGTGCAAAAATAATGACGTAATAATGTCGTTTTTGACGTATTTTTAACGTCAAAAACGACATTATTACGTCATTATTTTTGCACCAACCTAATATAATAGTTAAATCTGCGGACGCGAATCCCACGGGGACGAAGAGATGATTGCGCGGTATTTTTCATTTCATACTTTCCAACTCATCGCCATTTTTTTCTTCACTTCATTTAGCCTTCATATATGTCATTCATTTTTCTCTTTTCTTTTTATTTTTTTACTTCATTCAACTTCTTCATTCTTCCTTTCCTTCCCTTCTATCATTCTTTAATGCTTTCGTTTCTTTCCCTCTTTTCGTGTCGACTTTCACCACTTTGAGTCCCGCCTCGTAAAAATATTCCGCCACACAAAATGCCCTCAACAAATGTGAACGGGTCCTTGTCTTCTTCCCTATTCTTTCAACAAAACCGCCAAATTTTCAACCTCTGCCCCTACCAGCCACCAAAACCGACCCCCATAACGACTTCAGTCACCCGCAAACACACTCAAAGCCTCCGGGCCTTTCTCCAGTATCTGTTTTCTTACATATTTCTATTTATTTCAGGTGGGTAAAGAAAAAGAGGGATATAAAAAGGATGTACTCTTGTAACTTTAGTTGGTCCTTTCTTTAAGCGTTCTTTGGTGCTGACTGTCGGAAAAAGGAATAGGAGTGGGGAGCGTCTTGCAGGGAGTGGGGAGAACGGGGTGGGGTAAAAGAAACGAGAAGAGAGGGGAGAAAACCTATCAAAGGATAAAGTACTAGCCGAATGGCAAGGTTCAAATGGAAAAGAAGTGTGGTAAGTGTGAAAGAATGGAGTGGAAAGGAAATGAGTCAAAACGAGGTTGAGAGGAGGAGGAGAAGAAAGAGAAGGAGGAGGAGAGAAAAGGAAAATACAGGAAAAAATATACAAAAAAAAATGAAATAAAAAAGACAGCGAATGGGAGAATAAATATGTGGTGGAATTAAAAGAGAAAAGAGGAAAACGAAAAGGAAATGAATCAAAACGAGGCTAAGAGAAGTAAAAATAGTAGTAATAGGAGACGGACAAAAGAGAAGATAAAAAAAAAATGAAAGACTAAAACAACAACAAAAAAATAGAAAGAAAATAGGAAATAAATTAGAACCGGGTCAAGATGATGATGATGAGGAGACCGGAAGAAGGTCGCTAGAAGTAAAAGATAGCGAAGAAAAGTATAAATCAAAACGAGGCTACAGTAAATAAAAAGAAGGGGGACGACGGGGAAGGAAAATGGAGACAAAGGCAAAAAATAAAAAAATAAAAGACGACAAAAGGGAAATAATCCAGAACGAGGCTAAAGTTACGAAAGGAAAAAAATGAGATCGACAAAAAAAAAAAAAAAAAAAAGGACGAAAAAAATGAGAAAAAAAAGTAAAAGATGAAAATGTATAAGAATGAAGAAAAAGGAATGCGTAAAAGAAAACAAAAAGATATAAAAATTGGGGTGGGAGGAAATGAGTGATAAAAGTAAAAATAACGGACGAGAAGAAGAAGGAGGAGGAGGAGGAGGAGGAGGAGGAGATGATGCCAGGAGGAAAATATGTTTTGAAAAAGAAAGCGAATTTAGGATTTGTAAGAAAGA